GGGAGATATATTCACCTGTTATCCCATGATTGGGAAGGGGGTGAGGATAGCTGTTACCCCACCCTTGTGAGTGGTGCGGATAGTCATCACGGTGGTGTGGATGTGAAAATGCACCACTGCTTGTGAAAGTGCTCCAACGGTGTAAAATTAATTTGACCACTGCCTGCCTCCTTGATCAGACGACCAGTGGAGGGAAAAATTCCTTGAATTGTTGTTACATGCAGGGGGAGGGTGGCATTGGATTGGTTGATTATTATGTTGATGGATGGGGCTAAGTGTGGAAATAGGAGACAGTTTTTATTTTTTACTGGTCAAACAATAATGGTCCTATGAGATGCAAGCCCTTGTGGCAATGGATATAAAAGTAAGACTGATACCATTATCAGAGAAGTTAGCACTCAGGAGGTGTGAAGTTTTGATCATTGCTTGCTAACCGGACAGTTCCAACCCTTGATCCTGATCCGGTGTGTACAGGCTGGCTCTCTCTCACCCCACCTCCCCCCCCCCAGAAAAAAGAATTCCCCTCAAGGTCCAATGAGGAATATATGTCAAGGACAGTTTTTTTAAGGGCTTTCTTGCAATTCTGTCTTGGACAGGCTTGACTGTATTTTTGATTCTGTATTCAAATTGGACTCATTCATGACCTTGCAAAACAAACACAATCGAATTTGGTCAAATTGTGCCGAGATGGTAGCTTTTGCTCCCCCCAATGAATGTGATTTTTAGCGTAAGCTGAGTATTACTCACAGAGGTGTTTCTTTTTACTGGCTTCGGCGTGGCAAGAGTGCTCACTCTTTGTACGTGGGAAGGCGCCTGTTTTGTTTTTAAATGAACCTCCTCTTGCAGGGGGGGGGATTTAAAAAAAAAACTGGGGTGAGGGCATCTCTTAAAAGAGGGTCCATATTTTTTTTTTGGAATGGTCAGCCTTGTCATTGTTGAAGGGGTGATCATGATGGTAATACAATTACCAATAGTAACCCTCTTCACTTCCCTTGCATCCTCCCTCATCAAGAGGCTCCCAATGCTTGGTCCCTGCCTGCCATACCCAAGAAGCACATCTGGCCCAATTATATTCTTAAAGGAATTTCTAAAAGCTGCGTACTCATTTCTGGGCATTGCATGATAAGAATCCTTTTTGAACACATACACAAAATCATACTTGAAATGTAGAGTTGAAAACTCTGAAAAGTCTCTATTTGAACACTTTTATCCCCACTATTGTGTCGAAGGCTTTTTCTGTCTCAATTTTATTTTATAAAAGTCTTCTGTACCCACCATGGAGCTATTGGTTTAAATTATCTGAAAGTTGTATTCTTTTACGCTCACGTCACAATTATCACCTGTATTTATTGCTTTATGATTTCAGGGAGAACTGAAACTTTCTGTCAGTTTTTTTCCCTTTAGAGTTGCTTGATTTTTGTACTTGCAACCTTCAAGAGTAAAGAAAGTTCTTGTATGACTGGCAGAGTGTACCCCTTCAATGCATGTTTTTGTGTATTGTCAGCCTTTGGCTCAACACTTTGGCTTGAGACCTGTTGTTAGAGAACACGATTCCTTCCTGCTTAAAAAGCCCAAAGTGACTAGCCATGCATTCGTAACATAAACAGCCAACGTGTGATGACAGTGGGAAATGTGTGACCCTTTTGTGGGTTGTTTTTTTTCTTGGATAGTAATGGAAAGCGACGGGCACAGAGTTGTACGTATATATATACACAGTCGAACCTTCCCTGACGGCCACCTCTATAAGACGGCCACCTGTACAAATGGCCACTTTCCATTCCCCCCTTGCGTTTTTTCTATATAATTTAACTGTGTAAAACGGGCACCTGTCCAACGCGGCCACGGCCACCATAATTTAACACACAACCCCTATCATACTAAGCAATAATACCTGTCTAAGACGGTCACCTTAGTGACTCCATTACGTTTTGTCATAAATTGTGCATTGGCTCCTGGCGTTGTGGGCGAGCCGTCATAATTCAATCACCTGTCGTTGTTGTTAGGTAGTCCCTCCAACCGATCATGTTGCGTAGGCCACTCCCACTGTTGACCAATAGCTACCAATTTTCAGCTGCTGGTGAGGTAAGCGTGTGACCCCTCATAACCCATAAGCCCCGCCCAGAACTCATACACAAATCGTAAGTGAGATGAGTGGTCACTGTTTACCCAGTCTGTAACAAAGTAACAAAGGACGTCAACATGAACTTGTTACAAAAGCGTCGCTCGTTCTCTGAGTGGTGGCGACCCATGTGTTTGTTTTAACATGGCACTCGGTCTTCCTTGTCAGATACATTTCGTTTTATTGTCACCATTGTGCAAAATCAGCGACAAAATAAAAATTACAAACGAAATACAAACTAACAACAATAACTCCAACAAAAGACAACATAATGGGATACTTTCGATTGGGGCCTCAGATGGGAATGGTTTGTTTTCTTTATCTTGATCAGTCCTGCCTAAGACGGCCACCTGTCTTATACGGCCACTTTTGTCCTTGACAATGGGTGGCCGTCTTACACAGGTTTGACTGTATATATATATCAACAATTAAGGTTAAGGATTCCAAATGAACAGTGGAACCTGCTTTAAATAGCTATCTCTCCAAGATATTCACTTGTACAAACGGCCGCTTCCCTCCTCGCATTTTTTTCTGTATATTACTATTATAGGCTACTGAATCTGTCCAAGATATATCCACTTTTCTCCTCAACTGTGGGTGGCTTTCTTGGGCAATTTCAACAGTATGTTACATGTTTTTGGCCGTTTAATTTCTCTGCTGCTCTGGAATCCCCAGTGGGTCAATGTGATCTAGAAGTCTGAGGAGCCTGGTCTAGTTTCTTCTACATGAACTTGAACTGTGTACATCATTTATTTTCCTGGTCTTTTAGATTGTTTCAGTTTTAGTATTGAGGTGATGGTTTCTGTCTGCCCGTGGATCACCGGAGAAAAAATTGTCTTGATGAATTGAGAGAAAATTGCGACATACAAATTGTCATTACCACATATATAGCTTACATGATATTCAGATATTATTGGACACGCCTCTAGCAGTAATCAAATCCACCACTTTCAGACCGTAGTACTGATGGCCTGATCATTCGGCCATTGACAGCATTCTCAGGTCATGCAATCTCAATGTTCAAATATGGCTATCTCTTTCCTTCTTCTATGTCAGGTCATATTGTATATTGTGTTACTGTATTTATATAATTCACAATGAAATCAATAATTCACTTGGGCCCGGAAATTCTCTACCATCTGCTGGCAGTATCAGAGTACAATTGTATCACGACACGGTGGGATCAGACTGGTCAATTTTTGTGCATGTAGAGAGTTTTTTGCTGTCATCTTAAAGCTTGTTCATTTATTTTGCTTCGGATGAAAAAAATATCCATTTATCTTGAATACATGTTAAAGATATTTGCGAATGAAGTAGGTGGGGGTCACATGGTTTCAGAGGTAAAATTAGTGAGAAAATGGCCGC